TCTATTTAGAAGTGTCACTGTTTAGCTGTGCACTTAAGTAAAAGCTGAGCTTTGGGGCACCTTTAAGTTAAAGGATTGCCATAGGTTAAAAGGCTGCCAGCAAAGGGGTACCTCAAAACTAAAACCCGATGCCATCAGACAGCATAAATGACAGAATATAAATAAAACAAATATTAAGGTTATCTTTATTCTAAAAGCCTTCCGAAAAATTCAGGTTGCTGATGCGTTTCCAGAACTCAAGATATATCAAACTAAGCTCGCTCATAAATTGAAATGTCAGAGCTCAGGCTGTACCCAAGATTAGGACGTATTTGTGTGTCTGTGCTTGTTCAAGAACTACTAAGTTCGGTCGGTCCACGCTAAGAAGCAGGAGAGCCACGTAACATTTCAGCCCACAGTTTATATCTAGATTGCTTTGGCTGGCTGTGGAAGTTCTCTCCAGCGTGTGATACGCAAACCTGGGAGGCAGGGAACCAGATTTGTCCAGAGGGAGAAGGAGAGAGAGAACAGATGCATCTCTGCAGGTCAAGGGCTTTCATCAGGGAGAGGGGCATCATCTGCTCACTGAGGGTGGCTTAGGCATCTTATACTGCTCCTGCGTGCTGCAAGACGTGCAAGTTGTCCTCAGAGCAGAGAGTCATTGCATGGAGGGCACTGCCATCGCCATCAGCATCATTGCTGTAGAAGAAGAGACCATGCCTGGTGCTGTATTTGAAAAGAGTGGCACCTGGCTATGCACTCAAATTTAACACAAGGCCCTGAGAAGGGAGGGATTTCCACCCTTCTCCGCTTTTCCCACTACTTAAGTTGCTCATTCCTCAAAATACCAGCTCACATCACGCACAGGTACTGAACTGAGACACCAGGGGTGTCCTGCAGAGGGTGGGTGCTGCAGTGAGGGGACAGGCCTGAGTATCATGGAACCTCTGGGCTTCTTCAGACATAGCTCAGTGTGCTCTCCAGTGTCCCTCCCTTGGAAGCTGTGAGCTCCTCAAAACAGGTCAGAAAATAAAAGCATTATATGTTCCCCTGCTGAATCTAGTGCAAAGAGCCTTCTCTGCTGATGTGGTGCTCTGTGCACAGTGGAGTACAGCCTGAATTACCACCAGGAGATTTTCTGCTTCAATTTGACACGCTAATGGGGAAGTGAGACCAACAGGACTCCTATCAGTGTCAATAGGAACTGAAAAGATTTTTCTCTCAGCGGTCTGTATCACTTACCATGTGCTTGTGAGCCCTTTGGTCAGAAATATCCCTTTAATAATTTGTGCCTTGTGCCCATAAGCTGACAGACCAGTGACACTCCTGTCAGAGTTATGAATCCTAATGCACTGTACGCACAATTATTGTTCACTGGACAATGTTGTCACATAATCCAAAAACTTCACTCAGTGGCTGAACTTCATCATATTCACTTTGGGTCCTTACACTGTACTGACACTCCTGAAGCTGCAGAACAAACTGCTACTGGTGCAATGAACTCTTACTGTGCTTATTGAGCACTTGGTCTACTCACCAGAAGGGGACAATTAATGTAAATTGTGAAAAAATGCCAGATACTGGTGGAGGTCCTGGGAATATTGCCATAATAAAAGAGGACCAAAGGTGATATTTAAATGGGGTTTTTCTCCTCTATTTTATTACCATAATTTGGAGAAACCTCAAAAAACCAAAACAAAACCCAACCTAAAAAAAACAAAACCAAACCACAAAACAAACTAAAAAAAAAGGAACCTCTATTCAGGCTTCAAATTCATAAAAAGTCGAGTCCCTGCAGTGTTGTGACCCCCAGTTGTGAAGAGCAGGACTTATACTTAAGCTATAGCTAAAAATCATACATCCATGTATTTGGTGAGATGATTGTTCTCCAACCACCTCGTGCTGTGAACTGTTTTTTAAAGGAACTATGCATATCTGCAAACATGACACTGGCTCAGGTCGAAGATCAAATACTCGTCAAATAATGTCACAAACTGCAAGTATGCCACTATGTTTAACAGGGCAAATGAAAGCCCTCCTCCTGCTGCTGGATCACCACTGCATGGGTTCACACAACACTGTCCACTCCTCTACTTCCCTGCAAGACAGAGATCCCAGACATCCTCACTGAAAATCAAGTCTGTGAAAGTCCTAGTGGCTGGCTCAGACCAGTAATCACATCAGTGACTGAGAATTGTCTTTCCTTGTCAAGAGCCAGCAAGTTTCTCCAGAGCAAGAATAAATCACAATGTAGCATTTTGTTCCTTCCCAGAAGTCAGGGCAGCAAGTTTCTGAGCTGATACAGGAAGATGTTTATCAGTCCAAGTAAATGGATACGAATGCATTCACAAAAGTAGGCAGCTTGGGTTTTGTCAAACTGGGAAATCGAACAAAATAAAAGGCAGCACTCTTTACTCTTCAGAGACAATTTACCTCCTTCTCTGGCTGAGGACTCCAGTGCCCATCTTCAACACATGCCCTCAACTTCCTCTGCTTTCTTAGCACCCTGAAGGAAGCAGGAGGCAAACCACACATCTACTATCATCCTGCTGTCAGTCCCTGCCCCAGCTTGTGTCACCACCATACCCACAGCCCAACGCGGGCCCTGGTAAAATGTCTCTCTACATCTTTCTTATAAGCCCCCTTTAAGTACTGAAAGGCCACAATAAGGTCTTCCTGGAGCCTTCTCTTCTCCAGGCTGAACAACCCCAACTCTCTCAGCCTGTCCTCATAGAGAGAGGTGTTCCATCCCTCTGATCTTCTTCATGGCTTTCCTCTGGACTCAGTCCATGTCTTTCCTGTGCTAAGGACCCTAGATTTGGGCACAGTACTCCAGATGGAGTCTCATGAGAGTGGAGTAAAGGGTCAGAATCACCTTCCTCAACCTGCTGGCCACACTGCTGTTAAATCAGCCCAGGATGCAGTTGACTTTCTGGGCTGCAAGTAAATCTTGTTGCCTCCTGTCCAGTTTTTCATCTACCAACACCCACCCCCTGAAGTCCTTCTTGGCAGGGCTGCTCTCAATCCCTTCATCCCACAGCCTGTATTGATCCTGGGGATTTCCCTGACCCAGGTGCAGGACCCTGTACTCAGCCTTTTTGAACCTCATGAGGTTCACATGGGTCCACTTCTCGCACGTGTCCAGGTCCCTATGGATGGCATCCTTCAATCCCTTCATCCCACAGCCTGTATTGATCCTGGGGATTTCCCTGACCCAGGTGCAGGACCCTGTACTCAGCCTTTTTGAACCTCATGAGGTTCACATGGGTCCACTTCTCGCACGTGTCCAGGTCCCTATGGATGGCATCCTGTCCCTCTAGTGAATCAACTGCACCACTCAGCTTGCTGTCATCTGCAAACTTGCTGAGGGTGCAGGTGATGAAGATACAAATAATACTGGTCCCAGTACAGGCCCTTGAGGGACACCACTCATTACTGGTTCCAGTCGGACACTGAGCCATCAACTGTAACTTGTTGGATAGAGCCATTCAGGCAATTTTTTACCCATCTAACAGTCCACTCGCCAAACCCATATTTCTCCAATTTAACAGAAAGAATGTTGTGGGAGACCATAGCAAAGTTAGATGACATCCATAGTTATTCCCTTGCCCACTGATGCAGCCACTCCATTGTAGAAGGTCATTAGATTATTCAGGCACAATTTGCCCTTGGTGAACCCATGTTGACTGTCATCACTTCCATGTCTTCCACATGTTTTGACGTCTTCTAGGAGGATTTGCTCCATGGTCTTACAGGGCATAGAGGTGAGGCTGACTGGTCGGTAGTTCCCAGGGTCCTCTTTTTTGAAAATTGCTGTGAGGTTTCCCTTTTTCCAGTCACCAGGGAGTTTGCCTGACTGTCACTGTGCATCTCCTGGTGGGTGGTACAGGAAGGTGAAGCTGCAGTGCCTGTGCCTCTGCAACTCAAAGGGGAAAGGTGATTTCCAGAAAGGTCTCCCAGAATTTGTTTTCATCATCTTTAGTAAGACTGGCCCTGAACATAGGTTTTGATGAAGAGAAGAGGCTGCTGAAAGGTAGCTCCTGGAAGTAGAAAGGTTTGGCAAGTTTCTCAGGCTCTCCAAAGTAATGCGTTAACTTTTTTATTGATTTGAGAAAAATTTGAGGGAGTTAAATGCATTCCCAGTGCAAATTGAATCTATATTTCTCCACAGATACATGAGTCAGAGCATCTGAATGTGTATTGCCAAATATAGTCATTGTGCTCCATCAAAAGATGGATGCTGGAGTAGAACAGCACACTTTCCAAAGTTTTGTTTTAATTACTCGTTTAGAAAAATTACCAAAAGGGCTCTTCTCCATATACCCATGAAAGCAGCTAGATGAAGAAAATGCTATATATTTCAACAGAAATGGCAGGGGGACTCACAGTGTGACTTGCAGAGCTCCTCAGTAATTAAGAACAAAGCCAGGTGGTGAAGAAAGCAGCGAAATTTTGACCATTTAATCTGAGCCGTGGGCATTAATACGCGTTTTCAGGCCCCCTCCGGCACACACTATTTGCAGGGCTGCTCCCACCCGGGCCTGGGCGTCCCACTCCATCCCCAGCTCCCAACCTGGAGCAGCAGTTGCTTCGGTGACTGTCCCTTCCCTTCTGCAGGGATGCTCCGGGACCCCTTACCCCCCAAAAAAAAAACCCAGGGAAGCGCTTGTTGCCGGGTCTGTGGGGAGAGCAGTACCCCCGGTGCACCGAATTTACTGAGGATGAGGGTGCAGCGGAGCTCCGGCCCCAGCAGTTTCCTGAGGCAGAGGAGAAGGAGGAGAAGGAGGAGGAGGAGGAGAGGGAGGAGAGGGAGGAGAGGGAGGAAGAAGTGGCGGGGGGGGGCATTGAGGAGACAGGGAACCCCCCTGAGGCGCTGGCTGCCGCGCCTCAGCCGCCGCCGCCACCAGGGGGCGCCGTGCCCTCTCGGATGGGGGGGCGCTGGGGAAGGGGGGCTCGTCGCGGGCGCGTCGCTGATTGGCTGGGGCGGGCCGGGCCGGGCGCGGGGCGCCGCTTCTTAACGGGCGGCGCGGGGCTTCGGTTGGGAGTGCTGTGCCGGGCGGGCGGGCTGCTGTGAGCCGGGTGCCGCTGCCGCGCGACATGAGCGAGGTGAGCGGCCGTTGAGGGGAGCGAAGGGGGGCGAGGCGAACGGGCGCAGCCCCTGTGAGGGCGGCCCGGGAGGCCGTAGGGTGGGCAGCGCTCGGCGTTGGGCGTTATCCGTCCCTTTCCGAAGGGCAGGTGGGGAGGGCAGGGTCGGGTTTCCCGGGCTGGGAGCCCCCCCTGAGGCTCTGCTGTGCCTCCCGGGAGAGCCGGTCTCTGAGTGAGAGGGGTCTCTTTGGGGAGGGTGTGTGGGGTCTGAAATATGTAGCCTTGGAGTAAAACCCCTGTCTTCTCATAAAACAGCTCTCCACAGGTGTGTGTGCTCCTTCAGAGCTTAAACCCAGGTGGTGTTTTACTGTTTGATGGTTCTTGTCCACCGGTGGAGAATCATTTAGTTACAAAAACCCTAGTAATTTAAAGATATATATGATGCCTTCCTATGCAGAAAGAAGGCCTGGCTAAGTTGTGTGAAAGTTATCTGCTGGAGTTTATGGAAAAAAATGCCCTGCTTCTGGTTGGATGCTGATGTAAACTTTATAAATAGTGGCCTGGGAAGGATTACAATTAAGGAAAAAATGTAAATAGTGCCAAACATGTAAGGATCACTTGTACTCTTGTAAATAAATAAGCTGAAATTTTTTTGCTTGTGGTTTGTGTTTTTTTTGTTTTAGCAGTGGAAAAGTTCTCTGGGGCAAACTAGCATTTTTGTTATTAAAAGTGTCATTAGGCAGGCTGATTATTTGACAGTGTAGTCTGTCAAATGCTGGGCAGGTTCAGCCAGCAGATCCCACGTTCTCTAGTGCAACTCTTTCTTTGGGAATCAGTAGAAATGCTTGTCATCATACCATACCCAGCTCCTGGTTTTGGAGACTATTTCCTTTTATAAAAGATCTGTGGTTTCATTAACAAATGGGTATTTTTTCCTTAGGAGCAAGGGAAGTAGCTGTTGTGCAGGTGTTAGACTCTGCTGTACGTTGACATGAGGTGTAACCCTGAGGCAGAGCAATGCAGTAGCACGGTCTCTGGTTCAGGGATTTCGGAGGAGACACTTACATCTCAACTTGCAGGTCAGGCTGAATGGGGAAAGCAGAGGAAATCCTCATTGTGCTTTTCTGCTTGCGGAGATTGGGCAGTCCAGGTGTAACGCACCAGGCTCTTTGTGACTTCTGCCTGTGCTTGTATCAACTGGATAGAGTTCATGCACTGTGGGGTTCTTTTTGCAGTCACTGTCCCTTTGTCACTCCGGCTAGCTGAAGTGTTAGGATGAGAACAGTGATGGTGCATCTCACCTTAAAGATAGCGTTTGGGGAAAAATCTTCTTGTGAGGAGTAATGATTGGGTGATACTGCTGTGCTTAATGTTACTGAGCAAGGCACTCTTGTGATAGCCCCGTATTGGGTTTTATTTGCTCAGTGATTACCCCTTCATAGTTTAAGTTAGGTTGTGTGCCTTGTGGATTTTACAAGTCCCAATGATTATCCTTAATACTAGCATAGGGGTTCTCTATTCATAATACATTTCCTTGAGCCTCACAGACCAGTGTTACTAGCAAACCCTCGCAGGTGGAAATGATGTCTCTTTCTCTGATGCAGCACTAAGCCCTGTACATATGACACTTAACACTGCACTCAATGTCTTTGGTGCTACTGTCACTGTCATTCAAGTGATGATATTGGTGAGTTTATCACTCGCAGCTCCAGGGAAGAAAAGCTTCCTTGCTGTTACTTGCCTGTCAGCTGTTAATCAAAAGATGATTCTTTTCCCAAAATGCAGATGAAAGCAACTGGAGCATCCCAAAAACACCTCGCTGCAAAAGACTGTTGTTAAAAAACGAGGCAAAAAAGATTATCAGAAAGCAAGCTCCTTAGACATCTGTTTGCTGTATTTGGATAGAGGTCTTGGTGGATTTCACTTGTAATGCTGTAACTGAAAAATATTTTTATTTTCTTCGTTCTAATCTGCTAGAAAATCCGAGGACAGGGTGATTGAAAAGAAGCTCATCTAGAGCCATCAAAAGATTATCCCAAATAGAATGGTGTTGGGAGGGTGGGAAAGCTTTTTGGTTTATGTTAACAATCGCCAGGATTTGAGTGGAGCTTGAAATGCGGTTGCAGAACTCTGAAGAGCGCTTTCATAGCTCTCAAGTTATTTGCCGAGACTTTGCACGGATTCTTATTTTACTGCTTCAAGCAAAATTAACTTATTTCCTGCTTATGGGCCATGATTACCAGTCTCCTGGTAGAGAAAGCTGAACAGGAAGCAGCTATTCATCTGACTATAGTGCTTTCCTATTTTCAAGCAGCTAACTTTTTTTTCAGAAAGGATAAAGAGCTCTTCTACAGAAAAACCCTACACTTCCTCCTCTGCAATATTTGTATGAAAATGCATTTAAGATGTTCCTACTTCCGGACAGAAGTCTGGCCCTGTAACTAGTTACAGTGGACTTGACTACTTGCTTTTGGTGGCAGATAGATCACTTGGCTATATGGGGCTCAGGAACGTCACTGTATACTGAAATGCATTCTTGGGTGTTGAAGTAGCTTTGAAAAAAAATGTCTTCAAATAACTGAGGAGCCTTCTCTTTAAGTCTGTAGGTGTTTTCTCTTATTTTTAATGAGCCTAGAGAGAAGGGTCATGCTGGAAAATATCAGCTACTGTCAGTGAGCAGCTGTGGGATGTAGTCCTTCTTCCATTAAAGCTCTCTGGTCATACAGGATGAACTGGAGGAAGTAATCTTGGGTTTGTCAATGTCAAATTGCTGTTTGCAGCCAACAGCTTTACCAGTGAACCTCTAGACACAACTGGCATGAACTCGATTCACCACAGGGAATCCTGTCATCTTATCTGTTGTTTATCTATCTGACATGTTGCCGATGATGTCTGGTCATGGTGACAGCATTCCCAGGGCATGAAGGTTCACAGGAAGCATTTCATCACACAGACATTTTTGCAATGGTCACTGCCACTCTTGCCTCCTGTGTTGAATGATTCTGGCTGTCATCAGGAATCTGGTCTGGACTTGGGAAGAAGCACACTTTTAAACAGTATGGTGTTACAACCCTGGATCCTGTTCCAGGGATGAAGCGCATGTGTAAGAAGTTGCAGCTCAAAACAGCATTCCCAAAGATTGCCTTGTTGGATGCATTTATTTCTTTTTGATATTCAAGGGTCAGAGTATTGCTGGAGTGGGGGAGGAGTTCAACTTTAATGTGTTTTTTAGGTGACTGACTTTGGGTAGATTTTCCTGAATGGCTCTCCAGTCAGTTCATGTGCCTGAAGGCATGTGATTTGAGAACTTCCATTGGAAGAGCCTTACACAAAGCAACTAAAGTGCTGTACTGACTGCCAGGGTCCTGATGCACACCACCTAAGGCAGGATTTGAGCCATCAGCTCGATGTGTTTGAGAAGCAGCCTAGCTACCAGACAGTAGCAAGAATATGCTAGCTTTCCTTTTGAAACGGGCATCAAACAACCAGACACATGAAGTTCCTAAGACAGAAGAGGAGAGCTGTCATGGGTTTGACTCTGTAGAGTGCATAGGTCTCTTAGTTGGCTAGGCTAAGAACTGGGGATGGACTTGATCTGTGCATAAACGTAGGGATTTTTTTTGTCAGGCTTTGAATACAAAGAACACCAGGTCGTCTTGAGCAACAGTAAGCTCTTTCTGTGCCTCATGTTGCCTCTGGGCTCTTGAATCCTACAGCAACTGCTATGTTGTGTCCACCTTCAAAAGGATCATGAAGGGTATGCACCTGACCTGTAGCAGGGGTGTGCAGAGCATTCATGTGGGATGAGTTGCAGGCAGCTCTCCTCTGCAGCCTGGAGCACTGAATCTTTGTTTTGGAGCTCAGATAACCCCGGATCTTTGTTTTGGGGTTCAAATCACCTTCACTGGGAGGTGCTTAGGCAGCCAAATCGAAGATGGAGGCTTCACTGCAGAGGTGACATAGCCTAATACTAGGGTCAAAGACTTTTTCTGAAATTTGAGCTTCACCAGTTGGGGTGGGGAGAGGTGACAATAATTACCAAGGCGGTCTCTGCTGTGGCACTTTCAAAACTGGTAATACCACGTGGCCTGATGGTTTGGGCATGTCCTTAAGCTGGCACAGTAAGGGTATCTGTTTCTCTCCAGGTTGAGGGAGAACCTGGAACACGTTTCTATCACTCCGGACAAGCATGTCACCACGAGGCTGTTAGAATAGGAGAGGGGCATGGCCAGTTGTGAAACAGGCATGTGTGCAAGCTTCTACCTCAAACTGTTAACTGCTTCAGGTAGTTAAATAGGAAAACTGAGGTTCTTTCGTGGGCTGCTCTCCTGAGCTCAGTTGAATCTGTGCTGCTGAAATGGTATTTATGGTCTTAGGACCAGATGTATTTAAACACTGAAGTGAGGATTGTACACCAATAATCCTGATAGTACTAAATCAAAGAGCTGGTGTTTGTAGGTGGAAAGCATGTTTGTTTTCTAAAATAATGTTTTTCTAAAAACATGTTTGTTTTAAGAGCAAAAGGACCTCCTGTGCTCTTGTGTGGTGTTTGTGGTCTTGGGGGTGTCTGAGCCAGCCCGTTGTCTTAGGGGGGCCCTTCTGGATGCGTTTTTCAGATACTGCCATGACCCTCAACTGTTATCTACTGGCCACACTGAGGTTAAAACCACAATAGGTATAAAACTGTATAGATATAAAAAGTGCAGCAAGAACATGGCAGGGTGGAGGAGGAAATTCTGCAGCTGTTATAGGGTGGGGGTGGGACAGATAAGGCACATGAACAGCAGTTTTTAATTTTAACTCACATCTATTTATTAGCTGAGTGGTAAATTGCAGCTCAAAAGAGGAGGAAGAAGGGAGAACAATAAGTTTTAGATCTGTCACTTTGCCTACTCCTTCCATCAATGTGGTTTCAGTGGGATCAAGCATCTTCTAAAATAAGACTTGGGTCAATTTCCAACATCGCTTCTTAATTTGGTGAAATTGGCAGACGTACTGTTTAGCAAGAAGCACACTGGTTT